CATCTTGTGCTTACTTCCTTGCATACGGATGACAGCTGCGTATGACATAGAAATTATTTTCTGGTGCTTCACTCTTAGACAGTTGTAAGCACGGTGTAACTGCGTCGAGGGTGCTTGACCATGTCAACACAGCGTGGTGCGATCATCCCCCTTGCGCGGAGTGAGGCTTCTCGACCCCGCACAACATCATCCACTCGACCACCATAATGGTTATAGCCTAAAACAAGAACGGCAACCTGGTTGCCGAGTTCACGAAGTGAATTGGCTTGTTTTACAACGTCATTGCCAAGCGGCGAAAACCCAATCCCGATGGCAAACACCGATGGGGGGGCTTGTTTTACAACTGCGTTGCCAAGCGACGAAAACCCAACCCCGATGGCAAACGCCGGGGGGGGGTGGGTGGATTTTTGCACTTGGTACCCCAGGTAGATCGTCTTTGTTAATACAATTTAGGGAAGAAGGTGCTTCGCGAATTCTCGCGTGCGGAGTGAAGGGAGGCGTACACCCTGGCGGGGGTTGTTCTGTGTGACCCCTGATCGGACCTCTGCATTGGGAGGAACAGGACCGTATTCAAAAACATCGGTAATGAACGACGACAGCGAGGAGAACAATATGCATAGGACTGGTCATTCATACGGCCTCCATTTTTCTCGTTTTTGGACGCGTCGGGCGTGGTTCGCTGCCGTTCTCGGCGGAGTTAGCTTTCAGTTACACTCTCGCTTTCTTTGAAGAGGCTGGTCGGGCCCTCGCATGATGACGTCTGATATTGGAGAATGCCGCGGTAAGTCTACGGTAGGGCCTCTCGCAGAGCCCCGCCTCGAGACACTTAACCTGCCTCTTGGAGAGTCGAACGTCCCGGCAAGGGCAGTGTAGGGATGGTCGGCCTGTACAGGTGTCCGTGCTGGCATTCAGCTGCAACTGGAATTCGATGCAATGCATGTGGTCTAGTCCGTCGTGGTACTACCACACATTCTGACCACGCGGCCGCTGCCCGCTTCGACATATATATTTTGCCGTTAATGGGGCTACAGCTTGTATGTAGGGAAATATGGCGACGAAGGGCGTGAAATGGTGGTGCGGACGTGTGGCAACATCTCTCTGTCTCTCCTCTCAGGGTCGACACGGCTCTAACCGGCTGCCAGATGCTATGTCCTCGGCGATGTCTAGTATACGAGTGCATATGTCAAGCTTACGCATTGTCATTTATCATCAACCTTGTCGTAGGAACTGCCACATTATCATGGAGGAACCCCATCCCAGGGGAACGTACTGGCGAATCTTCTCGAAATCTTGCGACAAACTTCTATGACCGACCGTCTGATTCATGCTTCGATCCGCGGGTGATGCGGTGCAGCGGAATGACATGTAAACCATTCCTCTTACGGGACCAGCACATGAAACGCTACGCAGGACGTGAAGATTGAAAATGTACTGCTGTAGCGTTGTCGTCGTTGATTTCCCTCCAGTGCCGCGAGAATTCCGAATTGCTCGTGTTCGAAACTACAAGGGTTAGGAGCAATGCCAGGAATGATGGAACGACATGTTGGACAGCGTTCCACGATAAATGCCAAGCCTTGCGTGACCCGTTGAATGAACAACCGCCCCAAGTAGAGGCAAAGCCGTGATCTGAAGTTGTTCGACTTCCCCAATCGGCATTTATTTGCGTTGACCACTTCCTACTTCGATCTGACGACGACGTACGCATACGGCTCGGGTGTTCCGGTGGGGCACAGCCTGGAGTATAGTCTATTAGTCACCCGCATCCTGCTCGTCAAGCCCCAACAGCAACTAATGCCGGCAGCGTTGTCGTGGCTGCTGCTTTCTTGATATTGCATTTTTCTGTGTTTGACACACGACACGCCCATAAAATAACAAAAAAACAATTCGTCGATGTCGGTCGAGTCTGTTCATTTCGTTGGTACCTTCATCGAGCCGAGATTCTCAAAGTACGGCACGCAGTGCATTGATTAGCTCGCGGGGAATCTGGAAATAAACTCGCCAAGTACGAGATCTTGCAGTTTTCAGGCCACCATGCCATCGTGTCCCTCTCGATATTCTGGCGTGCAAATAGCCCCGCCAGGTACAGCTACCCACCAAGCGCATCGCCATCCCAGGCGATCTGGTCTCTACCTGCGAAGTCTAAAATCTACTGACATTCCGCAGTCACCAAGTATTGATACTGTCAGCCCTAAGGCCATCGCTTCGCTCATCCCACAACCTCAACCCCCTTCTTCCCATCTTCTCCAATAGGCATCTCTGTTTGGCGCTGTTGGTCTATGCAAAGAGATCCTCGTCCGCCCGATAGTCGTGGTTGGAGGCCCTGGTTCCCCTCTCGAGACGTTTTCTGCAGTTGCCCGACAAAGGAACGGAAGAGGAACACGGGGGCGGCCAATCGCAGTAGGTGTTGGACTGCTGCATGTCTGAGCAACGATACCCACACGGACTTACGTGGCATCTTCTGGTTTGGTTGTCGGGAGGGGGGGGAGGGGGCGTACTCTTTATGTTTTGCATGCCTTAGCGTTTAGACCATTGACTACGCGTCCTCGAGAGGACGGAGCATTGTTCCCACAGGACCGATCACCGATGGCCAATCGTTCTTTTCTACTTTGCCAAAGGTGGCTCAAAAATGTCTTCCCTAGTATGTCTATCCTAACGATATCCCTTCCCGCCTTTTCAACCCACCTCATATGCCCCAGTACAGCTACCGTCCTTTCCTCTCTATTCCATGCCTCAAATATCTCCCTGTACGTCCTATCTATTTTTCCCAGCTCAGTCGCGTACACTTCCCTCTCCTTCTTGTACAACGGACATTCCGCGACTACATGAACACGGTCTTCGCATTCGAAGCCGCAACCACATTTGAACTCGTCGTCCTCTTCGTCTACCGTTCTATGTCTTCGTCGACGTTCTCGAAGGCCTATGTCCCCGGTCCTGAATTTGACCTTAAGCTTTGTTCCTGCATCCATTGGTCCATGTAGGTAATCCTTGAACCCTATTCCTCCCTTCAACATTCCGTACACTTCTAGACCCTCCGTATCCTTGGATTCTTTCCTGTGCTCTGTTCTTCTCTCTCGACACAAGCGACAGATATCCTTCTTGAACCCCTGTAGACCCTCCGTTTCCAGCGTTTCATCTTCGTCGATGTCGAGCTCCTTCCATACGTCCTCTACAACCTTGACCCATTGCGTGGGTTGTCTACCCCTCTTCTTGTTTGCCCACTTCGCCTCCCATACAATTCTCGGTAACCGCTCCTCTCCCATCCCGCACATGCGATACTGTAATGTCAGCTTCCTCGCGTCTCTTCCCGACCGTAGGGATTGCATCCCCAATTCTGCCCTGACGGCTGCATTACTTG